GTCAAAGAAAAACCCGGTTGAATGTTTTTTTATCACTCAATTCGAAAAAAAAATCATATATTTATTTACAAATGCAAAAAAAAAAGTTCTTCGTCATATATATATATATATAGAGAGAGAGAGAGTTGCCAGGCCGAACGTACGGAAGCCCCTAAGCTGACCCCCGGACGTTCGGGCGTTCGGGTCCCCGTATGGGGCCCAAACTCGAAGGGGTTCGGACCCCGCAATAAATTATTTTGGTACCTAAAAAATATATATATATATGTATATATTTTTTCTGAATTCTTTTTTCTGAGTTCTCTGTTATGTAAGCTACTTTTCTCTCAATTTTGAAGTCAATCTGCGGAGCTAAACAATAATTTCATTTTCGTTTTATTTTTTCTTATTTTTAATAATATTATTTATTTTTCGTATTACATTTTTAGTTCAAATTTGGTAAGAAATTTGGATGTACTGTTGAGGCAAATGTTGTTTACTTTATTCTTCTGCATGACATATTTATATATCAGAATTTTTTAGGAAACTAACTTTTTTTTTTTTTTTTTTTTTTTGACTATCGTGTTCATGATCTGGCTTCAGTGTGTCGAGTCAGTTTGTCAAGGGTTCAGCCTCTTTACGAGTCCGTCAAACTCCAACGAAACAGTTTGTCACATGCCCCTCGTTTGTTGTCCTCCTCTCTCTCTCTGTGCCAACGGTTTACCGGACACTTATGTTTATGACTATATATATATATATATATATATATATATATATATATATATATATATATATATATATATTGTGTCGAGTCAGTTTGTCAAGGGTTCAGCGTCCTTACGAGTCCGTCAAACTCCGACGAAATCGTTTGTCACATGCCCCTCGTTTGTTGTCCTCCTCTCTCTCTCTCTGCCAACGGTTTACCGGGCACTTATGTTGGTCACAGCCCCGGCCTTGCTGTCCTATTCTCTCTCTGCCAACGGTTTACCGAGCTATATATATATATATCTACATATCGTTATGTATATGATGAAAAATCAAAAACTCCGACGAAACAGTTTGTCACAGCCCCTGGTTTCTTGTCCTCCTCTCTCTCTCTCTGCCAACGGTTTACTGGGCAGTTCTGTTTGTGACGATATATGTATATATATATGGTTTACCGGCCAGTTCTGTTTCTGTGCCTGCATGTGTATACATCGTGGGTGTCTGTAGGGGACCTCGGGTTGGCCTGTGAGACCAGCCCCTTGGCCTGTTCTCACAGGCCTGTGTTGTATTCGGGGTAGGCCAGTCCAGGCCGGTACCTCTGTCGGTACCAGCCAGTCCAGTCCAGTCCCGTCAGTCCGCTGGGGTATACCCCAGCCA